TCGGTGCCGACAGGTTGGTCATAAGAGGGTACTCACTTTTCCCACAGTTTTCCTCAGAAGCTACGTGCAGTGAGACTGATCTAAGCTCACATATCTATCCGGACAAACAATTATTTCTGGAGTTGAGAGTTTAAATCTCACACACACTAACAAAAACTCTTGCTTCACCTGCTCTGTGCGGTGTAGTCACGCAATTCTTGCGTATGGAACACCAAGAGGGCCAAAATTGTGCAAAATTTTATGAGCCTTTCACATGCAAAGTACTGCGTTCGCAACTTAAAGTGTACGTAAATTAAATGCAGGCGAAAAGGAACCGATTGATACCGACTAATCAAAACTCAGAACCAAATGGCAGAAATTCCAAAACTAAACAGTAAGATTTAGGAAAAACACAAGAGAACTTCACACATTTGAGTTTTGTAACCTCAGAATATGAATTTAAGCATACAAATATCCTTACTTTGAGAATTTATGGTAATATTTCTACATTTAGTTTGTTTTAGTGTAACCATGGATTTTCGGGATATACCCTTTCCGGTGAACTCACATCCCTCTGCCTTGTGAAAAGCTTGCTACACCAGTACGCAGCATGTATCATAGCAACAGAATCTCAGAGGCTTTCCTGAAGAGGAAACAAAATAGAAGTCTCCGTGACACTTTCATAAAACATCTGAAATGCCAGATTTAGAGTAAAAACACACAACAAACTTTAAACTTCACACAAAGCAACATAAAGTGTCTCCTCTTTAGCGCTGTAAGACAGAAAAATGGACGATGCAGCTGCACATGTTCAGAGTTACTCATTAACTGGAGAATAAACACAGACTTCCTTCAGTGTGTCTCCCTCAGTAGTGGTCAAACATCTGTCAACGTAAACAGAACGATCGTACTGCACAAGCTGTTGTGTTGGGCGCAATACTGACTGGTTCACTGACTCCATGTGCATCTGATAAACCCTGCCTTGTTGTAGAGACAATATATACTAAACAAGCATTACAGAGCACAAAACATCCAAGGGTTTAAAGTAATTGCAAATTTGATCTGCTCATTTAGTGCCCTGAGGACAATTTCTGAGGCAAACGGGAAGAAAAAAAAAACGTTCAGATATTGTGTTTCAAATTTCTTTTCCCCGTCCTCTTTCTGATCACCATGACAGCGAGTAGGGATCTGGGGGCAAACAGGCTGCCGGATCTTGTTCCAGAGTGAACAACAGGCTCACAGTTTATCCCTCAATATTCAGCGACACACACACACACACACACAGTACCATGTCCCTCACAAACCAACACCATGTGTTGATGCTTGTTTTTAAGTTCCAAAAAATGGGAAGCAAATAGGGACGACGCGAATGGAGCGTTCCAGAACCTTTAGTTTTGTACCATCTTGAAAAATGTTTAAAAATGAGTAAAAAGCAGCAAAACAAATAAAATTTTATTTTTACATTATTTGACAAGATATATTAACAACAATGTATTAGGGTTCATTGCTGATAGGAAAAAGAAAAGAAAAAAGAAAAAAAAAAAGAGTAGCATAATTGCACCAAAAAAACGGAGTACATTTTTGCCAAAAAATTTTAAATTTTCTAAAAAAAAAAAAACAAGGAAGTTTCTGAGTTTGAAAAGTTGAAAATGTACTACAAAAAACTGAAAATTTGAGATTAATCTCAGAAATTTTGTAGAAAAAAAGAGTATTTTCTAGCAAATATTCAACTTTTCAAATTCAGAAATTACCTTTTTTTTCTAGAAAACTTCTGAGTTTTATGGCACAAATTTACTTGCTTTTATTTTATATCTACAACTACCTTAGTATGTCGTCATATCTTTTCAAAAGGCAAAAGACGGATATAAAAATGCCACATTTATTAGCTTGTTGGTATCAACAACTCTTCCTGCAGAAAACCCCGCCCCCTCCAACATATTGCAAATAAGCAGGCCTACCTCAAGCTTGGAGTCCAGGTCGGCATCTGAAGCCACCACATACTCGTCCTCCTTCTTGCCTGTAGCTTTGATGAGGACCTGCTTGGTCTTCCAGAACTTCTTCTGCATGCGCGCCATCACTGAGCTGTCCTCGTCCAGCAGAGCCCGGCCGCCGCTCAGCATGTCTGCAGCAAACCTGGAGGTTTAAGGGACAAAAGGCTCGGTCAGGTCTACGCGGTGGCAGGTTAAGCCAAAATCAGGTGTGCTTAAATGTTACATACCCCTCCATCTTTGGATATCAGCTGTTTTCTGTTCTGAAAGAACCCAAAAGTTTTAGTTTTAGAGAAACTAACCAAGCAATGGATAACTTTCTTTGGCATTTAATTAATTTCAAAGAAATAGTGAATGAAGAAAATTATTTGCACTTTTGAAAAGTGTTAAATTTTGTTATGCCTATGCTTTGAGAACCACTAGAAATTTCACATTTAAATAAATAAAAAAAAGCAAAATACATATACTTAAACGAACTGATATGCTGCCCTATGCCTTATGTGATGTCATCAGACGTATGCCTGGTAGATCCCGTGTTGGTCCAATGTACTCTGATTAAATAACAATATACAACAAAACAAATCCAAAACTGACAATAACAAATTATTCTATGGGTAACAAACTATGACTAAACGCAGTTTTGTTGACTTTCCAGAGAAGACTGGATAGCAGCTTTAAGAGGAGACTGAACTCCAAGCTGACAACCGTTCCTATTAAGCCAGAGAGTTGTAATCAAGTTACAACCTGTTATTGTGGCTTATCTGTAGCCGAACAGAGCTGATGGACGCTACAGGCTAAAGGGGCTAATTGAATATGGTTCCCGGAGCTGGGAGCAGACACCTGCGACCTGGCAGCAGCTGATGTTGAAGCAGGTGTTCGGTTTCACTAAACGCCCCCTTTGTTGACAAGAGAAGAAAACTCCGAGGTGTCACTCGGATACGTGTTACTTCCGAGAGAAATACCGCGATAAGGTGGACAAGTAATTCGTGAAAGTCGACAAAATAAGCGTCAATTGGGTTTCTCCGCTAGCAACAATTTAGCTAACAGCAAATGTCACTTGGAGAACGTCTCAGCAGAAGAACATTCAAAGCAGCGACTGACCCGTCAACAAGTCGGGTTATTTTCACCCTCTCTTCCTCTCTGTTGTTCCGTATGAATGTGAAATTAAAGGATAAACTACTACCTTGCTCGTAGTGTTGTCCAGCGGCGCGAGCATCTATGCGGACCAGCTCGGCTAACCTCCTCTCCCGATAGCCATCATCCTCTGAGTCAGAGAAACAGGATATGCACACGCGCTGCAATGGCGGCGAATGACCACGAGGGGCCACTGTTCGCCAGATTCCGTCGAAGATCGTCTATTATGATAAAAGCCGCGAACGACGTAACAAGTTCACCTCTTGTCTGCTAAGATACATTAAAGTTTCACACAAGACTTAAATTAAGTTTTATGAATAAGGAGACGTCTGAATGCAGATAAAATAGCACATGCCAGTGTTATGGGAAGGTGGAGAGTGGCAAGTCCCGGTTGTCAAACCCGTCTGAGCAGGAAAGGCTTATCCACAAGACAAGAAACATGAGGAAGTTCATGAGGTGAGACATTTCCTAAAAGGAAATACTGGCATAAACCTTCTTAATAGACCTAGAGATTAAAATATTTTTTACATATTTTTTTCTGTGTATATAATAAAATTACAGTCCTTAGCAAAACCATAGATATTCCTTGAATGCTTTCCATTTTTATGTTACAACCACCAAAATTTGGTTTATTTAAGAGAATTGTAACATTTTCATATCATTTGACATTACATCCACTAAGGTCACAATGCATGACCAGACCAGAATTTCACTTTCTTTCTTTTTTTAACCTTAATATAAAAATGCTCTACACACATCCCACCATCCAGGCAATGGTATGAGAATGTTATCTGAAGCGAGCTAGCTTTACTTAGCTTGATAATTTTTTCAAAGAAAAATGATCAAAATTGAATATTTCTAGATGTAAAAAGCAGATTTTTGAGCTTGTATTTGCATTATTAATTGCTAAGGGGATTAAATACAAATGCATGCGACATTTTCCAAGGTTTCATTTGATAAAAAAAAAAACTTTAATAAGAAATACTTTTTTTTTTACATGTAGAATAACACTTGTACATAACGTTAGGTTTACTTGTCTTTTGAAATCTAAAAATTTCCACCAAAGCACTTGAATTAAAGTTGACACGTTTTAGGAAGAAAAATTAATTTATACTCTGTTTGGGTTACAGGGAGACATTTAAATCGAAGGAAAATCTGCGTAAAACAACCAGGATCCAAAAACAAGATGGCCGCCGTCTGCCTACGCTCCTGCATCCGTCTGAGCAGCCGAGTATTTGTAGGTGTAGAGCTTGTTATCTGCGCCGCCGCTCAACATCAGCTGAAAGACAAAAGCACAACAACGATTCGGCCAATGAAAATGAAGTTTTGCGACGAGTTGCAAGGAGAGCTGATGAGAAATCCTGACGGTTTGCCTCACCCCGCTGTCTGTCCAGTCCACACAAAACACTTTGTCCTCGTGAGCCGCCAGATCGTACAACGGAGCCTTGCAGCTGAAACGAAACGGTTCACAGAATGAGGCAATGTCCTGCTTTATCTACTATGGAATCAGTAAATGATTTAGGTGAATGAATGCTTTTCTTTAAGCTTTTATGTGTAATTCTGACTCCATGTGGATTTGAGGAAATCAAATCCACCAAATTGAAACTGTAACAATGATTGCAACAAGAGCTGAGGTAACCATGGTAACAATCAGATTACTATGCAAATGCAGAGTAATCTGCATTTGCAGATTGATGGATTCTCTCACACATACTGTCGATTTTGCGAATAAAGTGACAGAAAAATTATGAGTTGGAATAATTACCGAGCCACAAAACATCTGATTTCTTTGATTTTCCTCTTTTTTGGGGGCTTCTGGGTTGTTAGTTTTGTTTAATCTCTTGTTAAAGGTGCACCTTTTATTAAAAATGCACTTTAATTCTTAATTGACAACATAGTTGGATTTTAATGTAAATATATCCCTCCCCCTTTCTTTAATATTAACAATTGATTCAAAGTTTTATTGTTTTCCATAAGGTGATGATATATATTCACATTCTTTAAGTCTACCAAATTGCTGACAACTTAAAAAAATCTGTTCTCTATTTCACATTTGCATAAATAGGAAGGAAATATTTTAATTGCAGAAATTGACATTTATGAGTTTTTTTTTTTTTATTCTTTCCCACTCTCTAAAATACAGTTTTTGTGCCCAAGAGTCAAAGGTGGATCAATGTGATTATGAACAACCGAGTTTCAAACATCTAATTTCATCATGATTTTCAGAGTTTCAACTACTTTGTATCTGCGTACCTCCTGGTGTCCCACAGTTTGACCAGGTTGTCCAGGGAACCGGAGATGAGCTGGTGCTCATGGGAAGGCGCCCACTTGACTGCGGTGATCCAGCCGGTGTGGGACGTCAGAGACAACAGCACCAGCGTTCCGTCTGATGAGCAGAAGTTGCAGAAATGACATGAGAAAGTAGAAAAGAAGAGGGGTTGTTTGTAAAACTTTTTTTCCTGATAATTTAAGCTCAGTTGGTACCTTTGGTGCGAGGGTCCCAGAGTCTGATGTGTCTGTCGGTGCTGGCTGAGGCCAGCCGTCGACACAGAGGAGAGTAGGAGATGCAGTTGAACACTTTACTGCCCGACTGGGGGGGAACAAAACAGAATGCATTGTGGGAAACATGACAGAAATTTACTAGTAAACAGATGCATCTACAAAACCACTCCCACACATTTATATATCAAAGTGCTCATCATTTCAGCATTGGTTGGCATTATAATAATCTTCAACATATTTTATTGGGATATTATTATGCTAGGGAACAACTCAAAGAACCAATTAGCAGGAAGTCCATTTTTCTAAAAGCGGTGGAGGAAAAAAAAAAAAAAAAGCAAGGTTTTGGCCCACTTCTAAATCTAATTAAAATCTACCAATCAGATGTCGAGCGATTTTTCAATTCAGTTTAATTAAATTCAAATATACTTCACTCATCATAAAGGAAAATTTACGATTAGGGCCACTACAGATGGAAAAAAAAAGAGGAAGTGTACATTTTCACCTAAAAGTTAACATTTTCTGGAACGAAGAAGGAAATTTGTGAGATTGATCACAAAACTTTTTTTTTCCTTACAAATTTTTCAACTCATCAAACTCAGAAATTTCAAAGTTTTTTTTTCTCAAATAAAACTTCCATTGAGGTTGAAAATGTGTTGGTTTCCAAAATTTGACAGAAAACAAGTTGAGATTCATCTCAGAAATCTTTGAGAAATTCTTTTTCAAACTAAGAATTTTTCATTCTAGAACAATGACAGAAAACTTTGAGATTAAAGTTAAACAAAACTTTAATCTCAAAGTTTTGTTCTAGGAAATTTTTGACTTTTCAAACTTGGAAATTCCCACGTTTTTTTCCCCCTCAAAATTTTCTGAGATTTAATTTTCAGTCAAAAATTTGCTAGAAAAAAACTCTGAAATTTCTTCTTGATCATTTTAAAATTTAACAACATTTAAATTTAATATGTTAAAATTTCAAGAAAAACTGCAGCTGTAGCTGGCTCACTTGGGTGGGGACTATTAGTTGAGAATAGTGGCATGAAACACTGCTCTTCTTACCAGCGTGGTCTTCATGACTCCAGCCTCCACGTCCCATAGTCGGATGGTGTGGTCCCAGGATGCACTGCACACTTCCTCGCTGTCACACCACAAGACGGAGGACACCGCCTCGTTGTGTCCGGACAACGTCATCAAGGGAGTCTGTGTTGGAGAAGGAAAACACGAGTCAGAAGCTGGAGGTGCGGTTTTAAGCTCTTCCAGGTCGGGTTCTGTGCGCACCCTGGTCAGGCCGAGCTGCTGCGTCTTCTGTTTCTTCCTGGGCCGGTCAGCGGACTCCTCCACCTCGTCCGCCTCCTCCGTGGGCACCGCCGACCAGATCTTCAACATTTTGTCCCAGGAGCCGCTGCAGAACTGGAGGAAATGGAGAAAACGCTTTTAATCTGAGCTTTTCGATTCAAAAATAAAACGCTAACTAACGCTTTAAATATTGACCTTAGAGCCTGTGGGGTCTGTGGAAATGGCGTCGACGCTTCCTGTGTGTCCGCGGCAACAGTGTCTGGCTTTCACCTGGTTCCTCTCAGAGTTCCACTCCCACAGCAGGACGGTCTGGTCCAGAGATGCAGTCAGGAGCAAGGACGTCAGGCCGTCTGTACAGCAAAACACAACTTTAAGTAAAAAAAAAAAAAAAAGAACCTACAAACTGGGATGTAAAGGTCTAAGCAAGCTGACCTCTTTTGACCCAGGCAACATCCTTCACCACATCAGAGTGTCCAGCCACTGTCGTCACCACCTTCCCTTCCAAAGACCATATCCTGGCTGTCTTATCATACGATCCTGTTAGGATCCTGGAAAACAGGGGGGAATATTTAACAAAACTGGAGCTTTGTTAAAGGGAATAAGTGACATTTGCCAAACCAAAGCAGGAAACGTTTACCACTCGCTGTCCGCCTCCACGGAGCTGATCCAGTCGTCATGCATGATGCACTCCTCCGGCTCTGGCGCCGTGATCCGCTGCACGTACTCTATCTCCACTACGTCTTCCTGAAACACAGACGGGAACACTCAGCTCTACTGGGTTTTAGAACAGTTAAAGTTAAAAGTTAAAGAAAGTTCAGGCCGGTCTTACTGTTGATATTCCCTCTGTCTCCATGTGAGTGGCCAGCTGGGTTCGCAGGAATTGACCCTTGACCAGGAAGTCAAACTCCACTCTACTGTGAGATGCTGTTGGAGCAAGCACAAAATACTGTAACAAATGAACCGCGGTTATATCTTGAATTTATAGCCAGTTTTTGTGGATTTTCTTTTTAAATCAGCAATATTGCAACAAGTAACTGGATAGTTTGCAAAAGTTTTTCCTTATGTCTTGGTATGGAAGGTTACTTAAATGTAAATTGAGAATATTGTTTCATAGTATTGCAAAAAATAATTTGAAGGCTTATCCTAACAATTTAGATTCATTATCATGATCAATTCCAATTAATGGCATTTAAAAGCCACATTAATTTACAGTATTGTCAGGAATGTTTACATTTTCTCCACTATTTGTTCCATGAAGGCATCATTATGTTCAAGAGTATTTTTCTAGAACAGTATTCATCTTTGTGAGGCTACGACTGCTGTTTCATGCAATTACGGAAAATAAATACTTTTTATTTTATAAGATATGTGCCAGTTTTCTTGGGTAAAAGCAGCTATGCTCATGGTAGCATAATTTGAATTGTTTATGTTTTCTGTCACTTTACCATGCTTTGCTTCCAGGAGCTTGTTGATAACGTTGCTAAGATCCTGGACTTCAGAGGCAGCTGGGATGGAGAAAGGGACGTCATCTACAACATACCTACACAGAGAGAGAGAGAGAGCTATCAGCCTGTTTCAGTGCTATTAAATTAAAAGGTAAATAATGACAGCAGCTAGTCCTAACTTTACGTTTATTATAAATAGCTTGCTAAAATTACGGACCACGTGCACTTTAGTACTAAGTCAACAACAGAACTCAACCGCAAAGATTAAATAAATTTGACTCTACTACAGTTTAGCTTCACGAACTAGCTGCTCAGTTAGCTTAAAGCGTTGTTACTGCGTCTCTGTTTACAGTCTCACCTTTGGTCTTCTGTGAAGAACCTCGCCTGTAACTGCGACATTTTGACTTGTGTAAGACAAAAATGTATATATATATCCCAGAAATTAGCAAACTGTCATAAAACTATTCCGCTTCACTTCATAACATATCCAATTCTCATGCAGTGTCGCCATGTGCTGTGTGGGAAGACTTTCAAGTCGAAAACCGATCGAGTTCGGCGACTCGTTGATCGCCTGATCATGACTGGTTACTGAGCACTACCCCATTGACGCACGCGCGAATGAATTCTACGGCAACTTCAGCGCCATTTTATGAGTGGCATTTTCAAACCTTCATCCATAGCACTTGTTCCGAAAGTTTTAATAGAAGCTAAGTACTGTGAGGTCTCTTCTTCTTCATATTAAATAAATAAAAAAATATATATATGTGTAATAAAATACTTCATTATAATTTAACTTTTATCACATTTGAATGCTTCATACTATTAAGCTAATTTCAATCATAAAAAAAGATAACCCGAGTGAATTAAAAGGTTGTTTTTAAACGGAGATTTAATTTAGAAAGACAAAAAAGCTAGCATTATTAGCCCTAATGCTAATAACTTGTTAATTTACCACTGCCATCAAGCATTAAGAATAAATGACGATGACTAATTAACACTGACTTGAATATTTATCCAATCAATCATGTTTATTTACATACCACAATTCAGCAGCAAGACAATGTGGTTAACCACAGCAATGTGGTTTATATTATAAAAACACGAAAATAGTCATAGAACACAGTCAGCAATTGAAGAGCATTGCCTACAATCTGTTTAACTTTATTCCAGTTCATATGCGTACAGTAAACTCTTTTGACCTCTGACTAAATCAAAACTACCCTGTTTCATCCTGATGGATAATGCTTATTATTCAGTCATTCAATTACAAGACTTTCAATGTAGAAATCTGTAGTTTTGACATCTAAACGATGGCTTCAGGGAAATTTTGAGAAATTACGTAAGTTTTTTTAATTAGGGCACAAGTTTAGATTTTTATGAAACAGAAAACAGTCATGACTCAAATGAGAAATCTCCATTTATTTGTCTCGTCATTCACATTTGATCTCATTTCATACAGACGTCTCAACATGAAAACAGCTAAATTAAACGGATAAAAAAGAAACATTAGAAACTCCGTGAGATTTCACTCATGACTGGAGCGACGCTCTCTCTCATCCATAAAATGAGATCTGCCGAATTTCACATTCGTCTTTCATGCCAGGGAATAGGCACCATAATACTGCTGTGCCTTTTTGAAGATAAAAATGTTTGAGACAAATGTATAAAGAAAGAAAAGCCAAAATAAAGAATATACACTATGCTAACTCTTCAATCATCCTCTTCCTCCTTCACCTTCTTTTTTTTCTTCTTTTTCTTCTTTTCTGTTGGCTGAAAAGCAAAGACGAGAGCAGTTAAAAAAAATTAATTAAAACTATAAAAAATTTGATTCAATATGTGAAGTTTACCTCCTCACTGATTGGTATCTCCTCATCTTCTTCCTTTGGCTCCTCAGGTTCCTCCTCTGCCTTCTTTTCCTTCTTCTTCTTCTTTTTCTTGGGAGACTCTGCTGCCGTTTCGACCTCTTGCTCTAGAAAACAAGACGGGGACGTTTTTGAGCATCGTGGATTCCTGAACGTATTTGGAAGAGTTTTTCTCTTTTGAAATACACACACCTTCTGCTACCGGTTCCTTTTTGGGCTTTTTGAACTTGGTTACAGGTACAGGGTCCTGTTCACTCTTCTCCCCCTCGACTTCCTCAAATTTCCTCTTTTTCGAGGTGGACGGAATTGTCGAGTCGCCGGATGGATCATAGATTTTCACCTCGCTGAGTTGGAAGAAACAAAAAGGCATTTAATAATCCCACTTGGGGAAAAAAAAAAAAAAAGAAAACTCCCAAAAAGCAGGAACAAGTTGCTCCTCACCTCTTGTGCTGGTATTTGTCTGCCTTTGCCATTGCTTTGCCTGTTCCGCTGATTCTTCGGATCTGTGGCGGGAAAGAAATCGGGAGTTAAAGGCAAACAAAGGAGGACAAACAAAGCGGGTCAGAATCGATCTTCGGACTCTTACTCCTCTGTCCTCCAGCTGTCGTAGTCTGGCCTCCAGCTTGGCCCGGTTCTCTGCTCCCATTTCTGCGTTCGTGTCCTCGCCAAGTGCGTCGTATCGGATAGCCAGCGCTGTTTTAGCCGCCAGCATTCGGGAAATCTGGACATAACGCGACAGGAGAGCATTTG